CATAGAGGAAATTAAAGATGAAATTAAACACTATATACAGTTAAATGACAATACTAATACAACATGACAAAACTTATGGGATGTAATGAAAGCAGTCCTACAAAGAAATTTTATAGCAATGAACTCACACATCAGGAAAGCAGAACAAGCTTCAATAAACAACCTAATGTTGAACCTCAAACTTCTAGAAAAAGAAGAACAAATCAAGCCCAAAGCCCACAGGAGGGAAGAAGTTATCAAGATAAGAGCACAAATTAATGCAATAGAGACTAAGAAAGTCATACAAAGAGTCAATGAGTCAAAAAGTTGGTTATTTGAAAAAATAAATAAAATTGATAGAACATTAGTCGACCTCATCAAAAAAGGAAAAGAAAAACACAAATTCAAGCAATTAAGAATGACAAGGGGAAATAACAACAGATCCCACAGAAATCCAGGAGATCATCAACACCTATTATAAAAACCTATATTTTAAAAAGTTGGAAAACACAGAGGCAATGGACAGGTTCCTAAACACAAGTGAACTACCAAAACTAAGTCAAGAAGATATAAAAATTCCAAATAGCCTGATAACAGCCAATGAATTGAAAATGTAATTAAAAATTTACCACAAAGAAAAGCCCACATCCTGATGGATTCACTGTGGAATTCTACAAAAAGTTTAGAGACAAACTACTGCTACTAATGCTGAAACTCTTTAAAGAAATTAAAAGGGGCACACTACTTCCAAAGTCATCCCCAGAAGCAAGTATTACCGATTCCAAAACCAGAAAAAAACAAACCAAGAAAGAAAACTACAGGCCAATCTCCCTAATGAACCAAGATGCGAAAGTTCTTAATAACATAATGGCAAACAGATTGCAGCAAACCATCATGAAGATTACACATCATGACCAAATAGGATTCATAGCAAGGATGCAGGGATGGTTTGACATATGAAAATGAATAAATGTAATACACCATATTAACAAATCCAAAGGCAAAAACCACATGATCATCTCAATAGATGCAGAAAAAGCTTTTGACAAAGTCCAACACTTGCTCATGATAAAGACCCTACAGAAAATTGAAATAGATGGTCTTTACCTCAATCTTATAAAAGTGATCTATGACAAGCCATCTGCTAATATCATACTAAATGGTCAAAACCTGAAAGCTTTCACTCTAAGATCAGGAACAAGACAAGGATGTCTATTATCTCCACTACTATTCAGAATAGTTCTGGAAACATTAGCCAGAGCAATTAGACAAGAGAGAGAAATAAAAGGAATAAGGATAGGAAAGGAAGAAATTAAATTATCATTATTTGAAATTGACATGATACTCTACATAGAAGATCCCAAAAACCCCACCAAAGACTTTTAGAGTTAATATCCAGATTCAGTAGTGTAGTGGGATGCAACGTTAACATTCAAAAGTCTATAGCATTCCTATACACAACCAAAACTCTTCCCCCCAAAAAAATGAAATATCTAGGTATCAACTGAACAAAGGATGTAAAAGACCTATACAGTGAAAATTACACTACTCTAAAAAAAAGGAGATTGAAGAGAATATCAAAAAATGGAAAGGTATTCCTTGATCTGGGGTCAGAGGAACCAATATAGTGAAAATGGCCATACTCCCAAAACTCCTACACAGTTTAATGCAGTCCCAATGAAATACACCTCACAGACCTAGACAAAATATTTCTGAAATTCATTTGGAACCAGAAAAAACCTAGAATAGAAAAAGCAATTCTGGACAACAAAGGCAAAGCAGGGGCATTACAATCCCAAACCTGAAATTACACTATTAAGCTACTGTGATAAAATCATCTTGGTATTGGAAAAAAACAGGCCTGAGAATCAGTGCAACAGAATATAAGATGCAGATGCACCCCCAAACATACTCAGCCATTTTGTCTTTGACAAAGTAATCAAGCATGTACACTGGATGAAAGATCATCTCTTTAATAAATGGTGATAGGAAAACTGGCTTTGCACATGCTGAAGGCTAAAGCTAGACCCACAGCTATCACCAGTCACTAACTAAAATCAAAATGGATCAGGGATCTAAATATTAAAATAGTAACACTAAATCTACTAGAAGAGCAAGTAGGTAGAAGTCTAAGAAACATAGGTGTAGGCAGAGATATCACGAGCAAAACCCAGACTGCAAGGGAAATAGTAGAAACAATCAACAAATAGGATTTCTCCTTACTAAAAAACTTTTGCACAGCAAACGAAATCACCAACAAAGTGAAAAGACAACCCACAGAGTGGGAAAAAATTGTAGCCAGTTGTCCCAGAGGCAAAGGATGTATATCCAGAACATACAGAGAATTTTAAAAATTCAGACCCCCAAATTCAGTCACAATCCAAAAGTGGGCATCAGAAATGAATAAGCACTTTTCAGATGAAGAAACACAAATGGTAAATAAATACATGAAAAAATGTTCAACAACACTGGTCATTCGAGAGATGCAAATTAAAGAAATTCAGTCTTACCACAGAAAGAATGGCTATCATCAATAAACCAACTGATAACAAATGCTGCGGGGACTGTGGAGAAAAAGGAGTCCTTCTCCACTGTTGGTGGGAGTGTAGACTGGTACACTCACTGTGGAAATCAGTGTGGAGATTCCTCAAAAAACTGGGATTGGATATCCCATTTGACACAGCTCTTCCCTTTCTGGGTATCTTCCCCGAAGAATTCAAATCATCATACCACAGTGATACATGTTGTTATGGTTGATACATTGTGTCAACTTGGGGAGTCTATAGGTTTGGCTAAATAATTCAGCAGTTCTACATCCTGGGGTGAAAAAGACATGCCCTTCCTGCTCTAGGATGTTGTTCATTGTTTCAGTGTGAGAAATTTAGAAGGTTAACTATGTGATTCAGCAGGAAGCCAGGTTGCTTACTTTGTATTCATACTGAGCCTGTGCAAGAGGAGGGAATGGAGATTATGTAAGTGCCACCCCCTGGGTAGTGGTAGCCTACTTACAATATATGGAAGGGAAAGAGGCTTGCTCTGTGCCATTCCTCCCTTTTGCTCTTGTTGTTTTTGCTGTGTTCTGCCACCATAAACACTTGCCCTCTGCCATGTGCCACTCTGCCTCAGAGTCAGTCAAGTATGGACTAAAACCTCCACAAACTGTGAACTAAACAAATCTTTCCTTCCTTAATTTGGGTATTGGGTATTTTTGTCTCAGCAATGAGAGACAAGTAACCAAGACACATGTGTACCAATGTTATAGTAGCACAATTTGTAATACAGTTAAATCTTGGAAACAACCCAGATGCCCATCAACCAAAGAATGGATAAAAAAGATGTGCGTTTTTTTATACAGTGGAGTACTACTCAACCATAAAGAAAGGTAAACCAGAGATATTTATAGATAAATGGATGCAACTAGAGACCATACTCATAAGTGAAATAAATTAGACCATATGTGTAAGCATTGTATTGTCTCACTAGTGTGAAAAAATGAACAAGTGAATAAGATCTTAAATGTACAGTAGATATTGTGAATTGGGAAGAAAGTGTTCAAAAGAAAGGACAAACTTGGATAAGGAAAAAGGAAATGAAAAGGGAAAAAATACATGTACATACAAGACAGTTCACATTGCTTTGCAGCTAGTTTCTCTTTGTTCATTGAAAAGAAATCCTTGTGTTAATATTGTATAAACAAGATAGCATGCATATGTCTTCTACTCTGAATAACTACTAGGAAGAGGACAATACACAATGTATCAACTATTGTAACTGTCCTAATAACCTGTTTTGAAACCCAGTTTCATTATTATGTTTATCTTTTTTAGAAAAGGAAAAAACAACTGGAATGGGGAAAGGAGAAAAGAAGGAAGGGAAATATATATATTATGTATTTAAAAGATAGCTAGGATAATGATACTACTAATTTCTCTTTGTTTATTAAAAGAACAGTTAATGTTTAATTGTTTAATCAATCTTGCATTCTTACATCTAGTAATCTGAACAATTTAGTTGAAGATAACAGTATGTAATATAACAACCATTGTTAATAGCCTATCATTTTGTTTTGAATTTCTGTATTGTTTTCAGTTTTTGTGTTGTTTTGTTTTTGTCTTCTTGTGGTTATTTTGTTTTTGGTTTTCTTTCTCTTTAAAATAAAAAAATTGTGACATTTTTATATGGTGGAGTATTACTCAGCTATAAAGAAAGATAAACTACAGGCTTTTATAGGTAGATGGATACAACTAGAGACTATACTCATAAGTGAAGTACATCAGACCCACATGTGTAAACATCATATTGTACCCCTAGTGTAAAAAGCAGAAAACGTAAATAAAATCTGAAAGATATGATAGATGTTGTGACAGGGAAAGAAACTGCTAGAGAAAGGAAAAAATAAAGAAGGGAAATATATATTCCCTTCATACATACATACATACATTCATATGTACATACATACATACGCACACACAAGATAGTTAAGATAATTATACTAATTTCTATTGGTTTATCAAAAGGAGCAGTTAATATTTAATTTTTTTGACCAATTTTACATGGTTATATCTGGTAATCTGTACAACTACTTTGAAGATAACAATATGCAATATAACAACCATTGTTGATTTCCTATCATCTTGTTTTGAAATTCTGTATCATTTTAAATGTTTTTTCTTACTTTTTATTCTCTTTAAAATGAGCAAAGAAAAAAATAAATTTAAATTCTCTTTAAAATGAACAAAGAAAAATAAATACACTTCTCACTGTTGTCTGTTCCATAGTATGCATCTCCTTGTGATTAAAATTTTAAGATTAAAATGTAGTTTTGTTCTAGAAAGCAGAGATATAAAGGACACAATTTATATACTCATAATAATAGGATGGTAGTACAAAATTCTTTTACTTTTTTTTCTTTTTTTTTTTTTGGTACCAGGGATCAAACTGCGCTTGCCAGGCAGGCGCTTTTGTCCCTGAGCTATATCCCTGGCACAAAATTCTTTTACATTTTTATATTCTACATTTACCTTTCAGTGGAAGATAATGTGACATTCATGCTTCTGTCTTCTGACATGGAGCTATAAGATGGATAAAATTAGTTTTAAGGTTCAGGAGATCTAAACTCTCTAAAGTTAAAGGGCTATTTGAAAGCTTTTCTTTAAGCTAACAGCATCCCTTAAATCTCTTCTTTCAAAATACATCAAAACAAAATAATTACTATTTCAATATTAGAACATGTGTCAAGACTATCCTATTTTATTTATTCGTCTTACCCTCATTTTATACTCATTCAGTATTTATGATATAAACACACCTATTTATAGGCCCCCTTATTCTATGATATATCTAAGTCAGGTCAAGTTAAGTCAAAACAATAGCTACATTCAATAAAAATCCGTAAAAATCTTACATTCTATTCCATAAATATGTTCATTTTTATGTATTTATGTTCGATTAAAACATTATTTAAACTTAGTTAAAGATTAATTAGCTGCCAGGCATGATGGTGCCCACCTGTAATCCCAGGACTTGAGAGACTGAGGCAGGAGGATTGGCATGAGTTTGAGGCTAGCCTGGGCTACATAGTGAATTCAAGGCCAACTTGAACTGCATATAGAGATCTTGTCTCGAAAAATAAAAGTTTTTAAATTTAGGAAGCCGGCAGCAATCATGCAATAAATGTTAAACAGTATTATTTTAAGAATTTTACAACCACATTATGAACTTAATTATTTCTGTGAGCTCACTTTCAATCTGAGCACTGTGTTTAACAGAGAAGAAAAGACATTGTGCATTTCTACCAGCTAAACACTATCTTGGACCCCAAGTTATAAGCATCTTTATTTCTAGGTTTCATCTACCTTACTTATTTTACTTTATTTGTTATATAATTTCATAGTTATTCTTTAGAAAAAAGCTTCAATCAAATTTTCTAAATATTTCCTCCTATTATAAAACATACTCATATTTTCTCTTTTATTAATTTCTGCAAGATAAAACTAGAAATAAATACTTCCATGGCAAAATATTGAAAATTAGGTAAATGATCTTTTAAAAATATTTAATTTTCTTACTAATGTATAATGCTGCCTGTCTCTTAACCTGATACTAGTACCTATACATGCAAGTTCTAGCTCATTACTTTCTGAATGAACAACTCTGATATTTAGAACAGTAAATAGTATGGAAGGAGGTCCAAAGATATTGTCTTTAACTGAGACACATATTTAAATAAAAATATTTCCCACTGACCTGAGAATGTGTATTTAGTACATTTATGTTTTTTAAATTCCCTTGATTTATAGTGTCACCTATTATAAAGTCCATGGACAACACGGCTACTTTGACAGGCTCAGTGATTTAAAGGGCTAAATAAACCTCCTTAGCAGACAGATTTCCTCCTACAGTAAAACTGAAAGTGAAAATGGTGGTAAACTGAGCGGTTTTACTGATAAGTAAGACTGGAAAACAGTGAGCATCAAAGCAGCTTGAAACATATCTCTGTGACTTGCCTTACCTATAGTCTTAGATATTCCTAATAAAACATGCATATTGTTTTCTGACATTCAATATTAATGAGTAAATGCACACACACACATACACACACACACATATATATATATATATATATACACACACACACATACCTCTCATGTTCTTTTTCCCCTCTGCAGTACAGCTCTCTTAATTTATTTTGCTTTATTAAAATAGCAGCAGCAATAATTAACACAGGTATACTAATGTAGAAAATGAGTTGAATGTTGTGTTTTAAGGGAGCAGCATATTCTGCCCTCAAGTCACTTTTTTCTGTAATAGAAAATATTGATTTTAAATTATTTTACAGACTTCATTATCCAAATGAAAAGGTGAAAAGGATAGCATTACCAACATTATTCCCAAACATTAAAGATCTCATATGTGATGACTATATAATGAGAACAATAAAAAACACCTAATGTATATAAATATGTTATTATGCATGTTTTACTGATATTTTTAACTCTTTATACTGTATAATATTTGCAAACATTTATTTAATCTTTTTCCAGCTTGTCCACCCATCCTGTGGAAGTATATTTGAACTGGATAATAGGTAAAGGCAGGATTTTTTTATTTATATATTTTTTTTTAGTTTTTAAAGGTAAAGAATGAAAACACATTAACAAACAAACAGACATAAACAAAACAACACCCAAACAATAGAAGCAATACAGACTTTCAGACAAGGTCCTAGAAAATTAACAATAGATATTGTATTACATGTTATTATCTTCAAATTGGTTGCTCAGTTAAACAAATAGGCATTTAAGATTCATCAAACAATTAAACATTAACTGTTCCTTTCAATAAAGCAATAGAAGTCAGTAGTACAACTATCTCAGTTATCTTGTGTGTGTGTGTGTGTGTGTGTGTGTGTGTGTGTGTATTTTTCCCTTCTATCTTTTCCTTCATCTCAGTTTTCCCTCCCTTTGAACTGTTTCTTTCCCTTTCACAATATCTATTATACTTTTCAAATTTTATTTACTCTTTTAGATTCCTACACTAGTGAGACAATATAGTATTAATACATGTGGGTATGAGTTATTTCACTTAAGAGTATGGACTTTAGTGGCATCCATTTACCTATGAAAGCCTCAAGTTTATCTTTCTTTATAGCTGAGTAATATTGCATTATGTAAAAATACCACACCTTTTTATCTATTCCTCATCTGATGGGAATTTGGGTGGCTTCCACTATTTAGCTACTACAAACTGAGCAGCTATGAACATGGCTGCACATATGTCACTGTGGTGTAATGTTTGTAATTATCCTGGAAAAATACTCAAAAGGGAAATAGCTGGGTTGAATGGAATTTCTAGTCCTAATTTACTGAGCAATCTCCAAACTGATTTCCACAATGGTTGCACCAGTCTGCATTCCCACCAGCACTGGAGAAGGGTTCTTATTTCTCTACAGCCTCACCAGCATTTGTTGTTGGTTGATTTCTTAATGCTAGCCATTCTTACTGGGGTAAGGTGGAATCTCAATGTTGTTTTAATTTGCATTTCTCAAATGACTAATGATGTTTGACAATTTTTCATGTATTTATTTGCCATTTGTATTTCTTCATCTGAGAAGTGTGTATTCATCTCAGATGCCCATTTTTCTATTGGTCTTTAAATTGGGGGGGGGGCTGATATTTTTAAGTTCTTTATATGTTCTAGATAAAAGTCCTTTGTCTGAGGGAGAGTTAGCCAAAACTTTTTCCCAATTTGTGGGTTTTCTTTTTATTCTGTTGGTGATTTCTCTAGATGTGCAAAAACGTTCAATAATATGAGATCCCACTTGTTGATTCTTTGAAGTATTTCCTGTGCAGTTTGGTTTCTGTTCATGAACTTTTTGTCTACCCCTATGTCTTCAAGATTTTTACCTAATTTCTTTTCCAGTAGATTTAGTGTTTCTGTTTTAATATTTAAATCTTTGACCCACTTTGATTTGACTTTAGGGCATGGGGATAAACATGGGTGTAGATCCAGTCTTCAACATGTGGTGAGCCAGTTTTTTCAGCACCATTTTTTGTTTGTTTGTTTTTGTTTTTCTTCCGGTACCAGGAATCAAACTCACGACCTTGAGCACCATTTATTAAACAGGCTATCTTTCTTCCAGTGAACTTCTTTTGCCCCTTTGTCAAAAATAAGTTGGCTGAGTGTGTTTGTGGTTGTGGCTGCAATTTCCAGTCTGTTTGATTGATCCTCAGGTCTGTCTTTTTGCCAATACTGTGCTGATTTTATCACAGTGGGCTTGTAGTATAATTTCAAGTCAGGGATTGTGATTCCACCTGATTTGTCTCTGTTGCCCAGGATTGCTTTTGCTATTGTGGGTCTCTTCCTGAACTATCCCTGCATCCCTGGGATGAATCCCACTTGGTCATGGTGTATAATCTTCTTGATGATTAGCTGCATTCTGTTCACTAATATTTCACTGAGCAGCTTTGCATTTATGTTCATTAGTGAGATTGGTCTGTAGTTCTCTTTCTTGGTTGGGTGTTTCTCTCATTTTGGTATCAGTATAATACTTGCCTCCAGAAAGGAGTTACAGGGGAATTGTTTCCTTTTCAATTTCATTGAAGAGTTTAAGAAGAATTGGCATTAAATCCTCTCTGTATTTCTAGTAGAATTTAGCTGTGAATCCATCAGGATATGGGCTTTTCTTTGTTGGTAGGTTTTTAATCACATTTTTAATTTCAATAATTGATATTGAGTTATTCAGGATTTTTATTTCTTCTTGATTTAACTTTGGTAATTCATACTTATCCAGGAATCTGTCCATCTCTTCTGTATTTTCCATCTTATAGGAGTTACGATTTTCTAAGTAGGTATTGATGATCTTCTGAATTTCTGTAGGATCCATAGTGATTTCACCCTTTTCATTCCTTATTGCCTGAATCTGAGTTTTTGCTTTCCTTTTTTTGATAAGGTTGGCTAGGGGCTTATCAATTTTATTTATTCTTTCAAAGAACCAACTCTTTGATTCACTAATTCTTTGTAGTGTTGTCTTTGTCTTAATTGCATTAATTTCTGCCCTGATCTTTGTAATTTCCTCCCTTCTTTGTGCTTTGGGCTTGACTTGTTCTCCTTTTTCTAAAAGTTTGTGGTGTAGCATTAGGGTATTTATTTGTTCTCATTCTGTTTTCCTCATGTGTAAGTTTACCACTATAAACTTCCTTGTGAGGACTGCTTTCACTGAATCCCACAGATTCTGGTAAGTTGTATTTACATTTTCATTTGTTTGCAGATACTGTTTAATTTTTTCTTTAATTTCACTTGTGACACATTGGTTGTTCAGGATGCTGTTATTAACTTCCATGTGTTTACAGAGTTTATGTGTTTCCTTTTGTCATTTACTTCCAATTTCATTGCATTAGGGTCAGATAGTATGCATGGGATAATTTAAATTCCTTTACATTTAGTTAAACATGTTCTATGGGCTAGTATGTGGTCTATTTTAGAGAATATCCCATGTGCAGCTGAGAAGAATGTATA